ATTATAAAAGTTGCTTCATTAAATGTTTTTCTTTTTTGTACAAATATAATAAACTGAATAAAGTAAAAACTTTTGTTGAACAAGAGTTTTATTGTTTCTGGTTTGTCTGAATTCTTTTCTTCATCATGAGAGTAAAACAGTTATTATCTGCTGAAAAACCACATTCTGCTGCTGCGAGCTGATTCCTCTCTGCGCTGCTGGAATCCTGCCGTAAATCACTTTATTGTTGTGTGCACACACACACACACACACACAGACACACAAGGCCTGGTCTGTGTGTTAGAACAGGACTAAGGCGAGGACACCAGGCAAGTGTCCCGAGTCCATACAACCCATGAATACTGCTGATTGTTTGATCAGAGGAAATAATTTCATGTTGGAGGAACTCTTCTGTGGACTTTTGACCTGCGTGATGTGAGCAACGTCACAGACTCACAACGAGACACAATTTAAATGAGTTTAATGAAAACTGAGGACGTCTGGTTTTATTTTGGAGCAGAAAGAAGGTTAATTTATTTACAGCAGAAACAAAAAACATTTTCCAAACACTTGATAAAATCATTTGATAAAAGCAGAAGCTGCAGAGAGTTTAAATTTAAACATGTTTGACTCTCAGATGATTTAAAGGACCCGTGGCATCAAATTTCTCTAATAAATATGAATGCATTTTTGGGAAGATAACATGGATAAAATATTGTAAAAGAAATTTCATACAGCTGGGATGAACAGATGTTGAAATATTCACATGTTCAGTAACAGGAAGTGATGTCATAGGGGAATGCCTGCATGTAAACAGAGCTGCTACAATAACAACCGCCCGTAGAGAAAAACCTGTTTCTTTAGATTCTTTTGAGTTTATCAGAGATGAAGAGTCAGAGTTCAAATAATTAGACCAGAGAGTTCCCCTTTGTGATGTCACTTCCTGTTTCACTCTGAGCTCAGATCAAAAGAAAATATGACAGTTATGTGACAAAATTGTGTGTATTATGTCAAGTTTCCTAAATATAACGATGCTTTCTTTGACTTGTATTTGAAGGACGTGCACAGGAACTTTAATTCTTTTAATCCTTTTCTTGTTATTTACTGTTTCCTGTTGAAAAGAGCCGGTGGTCCTGCTGCCTGGTGCCGCCGTGGTTCAGAGCGGTGCTGATGTTGGTGAGGTCACAGGTTCAACCGCAACAACGATCACTTTCTAAGTAAGCCTAATCCAGATTAAAGCGTGGCTAATAATAGTCTGCAGCTCACAAACACACTGATGAATCACATCACCTGCAGCTCCTGGGTGGGTGGGGCTTCTGGAGGAAGATCTGAGTGGTGGGTGGGGCTTCTGGAGGAAGATCTGAGTGGTGGGAGGGGCTTCTGGAGGAAGATCTGAGTGGTGGGAGGG